GAACTCACGTGACTGCAGCACGAAGGCGACTGGGAAAGAAGAGTCAGTAGTGAACTCACGTGACTGCAACAGGAGTCGTTAATAGGTCATGTGGCTCAGGGGAGAGCCAGGCTGCCTGGATTTGGTGTTCAGCTCCTTCACGTGTTAGCTGTGTAACCTTGGGCAAAATACTTAACCTCTTCGTGCCTTAGTTTCCTCACCAGTGAAATGAGGTAGCAGCTATCTACCTCTAGGGTGGGTGTGGTATGTAAAGCGTTAAGAGAATAGGAAGAACTCTCCAAGTGTACTACAATGAGGAGGGCGAGGAGGACGGGCAGGGCGAGGAGGGGCAGGAGGGCGAGGAGGGCGGGGAGGACGAGGAGGACACAATGACTCATTTAATTTTCCTCCTAGCATCCTAGGACAATCTGAGAACTATTTATAAAATATTGTCATATTTAGAATATCCTTTGAGTTTTACTTTATATCAAGAAAGTTTATATTTTAAAAATTTAAGCTACAAACTATAATAGTTTGATTGTAGCTTACATTTTTAAAATATAAACTTTATTAATGTTAAGTTTTTTTTTTTTTTTTTTTTTTTTCGAGATGGAGTCTCACTCTTGTTGCCCGGGCTGTGGTGCAGTGGCGCGATCTCAGCTCACTGCAGCCTCTGTCTCCCGGGTTCAAGTGATTCTCCTGCCTCAGCCTCCTGAGTAGCTGGGATTACAGCTACCCATGACCACGCCCGGTTACATTTTGTATTTTTAGTAGAGATGTGGTTTCTCCATGTTGCTCAGACTGGTCTCGAACTTCGGACCTCAGGTGATCCACCTGCCTTGACTTCCCAAAGTGCTGGGATTACAGGCGTGAGCCACCACACCTGGCCGAGTTTCTTTTTCTTTATAACCTCAAAAACTCTAATCAGCTTTGAGTTTTGAAATGAATAGAATCCAATAATACTTAAAGGTTTCTGCTTTCTCTTTGGCAGTTATTCCATTTGCAGTGTTTTAAATACATTTTGATTCTGGATAAAATTGCCATGTGGGTCATTGGGGTTTGGGTATCCTCCTATTTAAAAAAAATCAGACCTCACAAATGCATACATAATTGTGTGTGCTCACTCACGTCCTCCCCTGTCAGGGCCTAGTATAACTACCTGGAACTCTAAGCTCATCTTTCTTTTTTATCAGAATTTATTCTCAGCTAGCAATCACATTGGAAAAGAGCTAATCAACTAATTGGTATTAAAGTATGTATACTTGGCTGGGCATTGTGGCTCATGGCTGCAATTCCAGCACTTTGGGAAGTTGAGGCAGGAAGATCACTAGAATTTTGAGACCAGGAATACAAGATCAGCCTGGGCAACACAGCGAGATCCCCATCTCTAAAAAATTTAAAATATTAGCCAGCCATGGTGATGCATACCTGTAGACTCAGCTACTCAGGAGGCTGAGGTGGGAAAATGGCTTAAGCCTGAGAGGTTGAGGTTGCAGTGAGCTGATTGTGCTCCTGTACTCCAGCCTAGAGTGAGACCCTGTCTCAAAAAAAAAAAAGCAAACCCAGAACAACAAAAAGCACCATCCTAGGACTACGGAGGCAACACTGTATCATAGACTGACAAAAGTCTTTGGAATCAGTAAGAACCTAGATCAGTAAGAACCTACTCTGGACTCACTACTCACGTCCATGGAAAATAAAGTGATGTAGTAGTTAAAATTACGGACTTTTGAATCAGACTGCTCACATTTTAACCTCAGCTTCGCCATTAACTGAGTGGTGCTGGACAAATTATATAACTCTGCCGTCTTTGTTTTCTCTTTTTTTTTGAGATGGAGTCTCGCTCTGTCACCCAGGCTGGCGCGCAGTGGTGCGATCTGGGCTCACTGCGAGCTCCACCTCCCGGGTTCACACCATTCTCCTGCCTCAGCCTCCTGAGCAGCTGGGACAACAGGCGCCCGCCACCACACCCGGCTAATTTTTTTGTGTTTTTAGTAGAGACAGGGGTTCACTGTGTCAGCCAGGATGGCCTCTATCTCCTGACCTCGTGATCCGCCTGCCTCAGCCTCCCAAAGTGCTGGGATTACAGGCGTGAGCCACCGCGCCCAGTCTGGAATTTTTTTGAATGCAATTGTGCCGTATGCCCTTCTCTCTTACTGTGTATTTTCCTGAAGCAGTCTCATCCACTCGCATTGCACTATCACTCACCCATTGATGACCCCCACCTCAGGCATCTCTGCCGAACTCTAGATCCAGAACACTAGCTGTCTCCTGTACATTACTGTCTGGCTGTCTTTCAGGCCCGAGCACAACATGACCAAAACTAAATTTATTTTCTCTCATGAGATTGACCACCTTCTTATTGGCGGCATTGACCCACTCAGTCTCCAAGTCAGAAACTTGGGAATCATGCCAACGTGTTTTACAGAAACTCAGTGCAAGTTTCCCAGGCTGCTGACCAAAATAGCTACCAGATTAGTGGCACTGCCACTCAGTGGGTCAGGTACTTGTGTCCTAATAGCAAATGGATTCTTTTCTTGGCCCTGTTACTAATATTAAACTGTCATCTAGAGTAATCACTTAACCATATTACAAGACAGTTTCACCATCTGTGCCTGAAAGTGAAATGCAATGAGACTCTGAAATGAAAGCTACTTGATAAATGCAAAACCCTATTCACATATCTTGTTATAATTATTAAAAGTGATAATATCTGGCCAGGCACAGTGGCTCACACCTGTAATCCTAGCGCTTCGGGAGACTGAGGCAGGCGGATCACCTGAGGTCAGAAGTTCAAGACCAGCCTGACCAACATGGTGAAACCCCATCTCTGCTAAAAATATAAAATTAGCCAGGCATGGTGGTGTATGCCTATAATCCCAGCTACTCGGGAGGCTGAAGCAGGAGAATTGCTTGAACCTGGGAGGTGGAGGTTGCAGTGAGCTGAGATTGTACCATTGCACTCCAGCCTGGGTAACGAGCAAAACTCCGTCTCAAAAAAAAAAAAAAGAATGTGATAATATCTGTGAAAGTATCTGGTCATCAGAATGGAAAATATCAAAGCATATGATCATCTGCAAAATAGCAGGAGTATTTTTAATTTTTTCATTTGTTTTTATTTTATCTTTTCTCTTCTCTCCTTTTTTACATGCCTCCTGTCCTGAGAACCCCAGTAGGGTTAGTAATCAGAAGCAGAACAAATCAGGCAGATTTGTCATATGTACACACACGTTTAGCAACTGCAGGCTCTAGTGGGAAGAATCAAAAACAAAAGATCTGTGCCAGTTTCCTTGCTGCTCTGTTCTGCCTTGTAAAGATCTGAGAAGTAAAGTCTGCGTCAATAACTTGTTTTTCCCTTTCATTTCCTCCCTCTGAAAGATGAGGGCTTTCAAAGGTTTCAGGCTGCGGCGTCATCGCCGAGCTATTCTGGGTGTTGTGCCCTTGTCAGGAGGAGGGGCTGATATGGTGATTCATGCTGCTCATGTCCCCTCTGGGCTTTCAAAAGGAAGCGTTATGGAATGTGAATTGTATTTTTAAAAATCCACTCAGGGCCAGCGGAAAGCTGTAACATCACAATCGTATTCTTAGAGGGATCTCAGTTTTCTTGACAGCTGCATCTGGGCTACCTTTTTAGTCCTTCCAGAAGGCAAGGCATATTTGATAGCCTTTTTTCTGTTGGTTAGAAATGTGGGACATTTAGCCCCTGAGATTGCTCAGCTGAACAGAAGTGAGAGGATTCCCCCTTTTGCCACCATCAAGAAGAAACTAGTTCTTGGCAACATAGATAGTCCAATTTTAAAAAAATCAATAATAATAAAAAAGACCTTTGTGGGTTTTTTTCTGAATATGTAGGTGATGTATTTTCTTTCTTGAAAATTCAGAAAATACCAAAAAGACCTTACAAGAAAGTAAATATCACCCGTAATCCCAACACTAAGCGATAGTAACCACTCTAACATTTAGGTGTATTTTCTGCTTTTTTCTATGTTTTGTGTGGTTTTTTAAAAATATTAAGGTTGTACTATATATATCACTCTATAACTTTAAAAGTATTTAATTTTTGAACACTGTATTTTACACAGCTAGGTAATAAAAAACTATAAAACTGTATACAGTGAAAAGTCTTGCTCCCTTCTGATCACATAAAAAACTACCATTTACTAGTTTCCTTACAGAGAATTTTTTTTTTTTAATTTAAAAAAATTTTTTTTAGAGACAGGGTCTCCCTGTGTTGCCCAGGCTGGTCTCAAGCTCCTGCCCTCAGGCAGCCTCCCACCTTGGCTCCCAGGGTGCTGGGATTACAGGCGTGAGCCACTATGCCCTGCCCTTCCAGAGAATTTTTATGCTTATAAAAGCAATTATCAATTAGTTTCTTTGCTGTACCTGCAACTTTTTAAATATAAATAATAGCATACTGTAGTAACTATTCTGTATCTTGCCTTTTTCACTTAATATATTTCGTAATTCATCCGAAATCGTTACATAAAGAGCTTCTTCATTCTTTCTTACAGTTGTCATTTTGTAATATTCCATTGTCTGTATGTACTGTCACTTATCTAGCCAGTCCCCTGGTGAATGGATATTTAGATTGTTTCCAGTCATTTGCTGTTAGTAACAGTGCTTGTGTATAGATCGTTTTGCCCTTTACCGTAGGATAAATTCCTAGAATTCTTAGATTAAAGAACATGTGCCTTTGAATTTTGATAGCTATTGCTAAATTGCTCTCCAGGAAGTTATGTGATATAACTTGAGGCTTGGGGTTTGAGACCAGCCTGGCCAACATGGTCTTTAGTTGAGACAGCCCATCTCTGCTAAATATACAAAAATTAGCCAGGCGTGGTGTCGTGTGCCTGTAGTTCTAGCTATTTGGGAGGCTGAGGCATGAGGATCGCTGCAACCTGGGAGGTGGAGGTTGCAGTGAACTGAGATCACGCCACTGCACTCCAGCCTGGGCGACAGAGTGACTCTGTCTCAAAAAAAGAAAAAGAAAACATTATTTTTACTGTATACCTTGTATATCATACGCATATGTTACCTGTTCAAAAGAATGATTAAAATCATTTTTAACAATTATTCTTTAAAAGGGTAAACATATGTCAAGTGTATGTATTTCTTTTTTCTTTCTTTCTTTCTTTTTTTTCCTGAGATAGGGTCTCACTCTGTTGCCCAGGCAGGGGTGCAGTGGGACGATCATGGCTCACTGCAGCTTTGACGTCCCAGGCTCAAGTGATTCTCCCACCTCAGCCTCCTGAGTAGCTGGGACTAAGGCATGTCCCACCACTCGGAGTAAGCTTTAAATTGTTTGTAGAGATGGGCCAGTCTACCTGGACCCAAGCAGTCCTCCTGAAGTGCTGAGTTACAGGTTTGAGCCACCACGCCTGGCCTCTGTATGTATGCCTTTGATTGCTGCTGAGAACCTTTGATGAGGCAAGGGAAGGCTGTGCTCTTTTTCCTGTCTTTGAATGCCAACCCTAGAACTGGGTCTGGTCCGGAATGGTAGTGATTTGCTCATTGCATGTGTTCCCTTCACAGGCGTGCCGCCGCCAGACTGATTACTGGCAGTTCGTGAAAGACATACGGTGGCTCAGTCCCCACTCAGCCCTTCACGTGGAGAAGGTAAGAGTGAGAGCAGAGCGGCTTTGCTGGCAGAGCTGTGGGTCTTCACTCTTTGAGGCTCCGTCAGAAGAATCTTCTAGACTCTTAAGGAGGGAATACGTCAAGTTGCCTATCAACCAAGGAAAGGAAATTAATTATCCCTCTAGGGACCGACTTTATTTGCTTAAAAAAAAAACCATGCAAACCCATTCATCCAGGCCACTTTTTCTTCTCTGGGGAAGGAATAGAAAAGTTTTGTTATTTTCAAAAAAGCCTGCATATATGGGACCCAGGGTGAAGCTTTTCAAAGCGTTTCCCTTAACTGTCTCAATTTAGCTCTCAGGTCATTAGGCCTCAATCTTGCTGTATCTACCAGGATGTATGTTTTGACTCATACCCCTTTGCTTCCCAGTTCATCAGCTTGCACGAGAACGGCCAGAGCAGTGCTGATGGTGTGAGCGAACGTGCTGTTGCCGAGTTGTGGCTGCAGCACAGCCTGCAATACCACTGCCTCTCAGCCCAGCTCCGGCCTCTGCTCGGGGATAGACAGTATATCAGAAAATTCTACACAGGTAGGTGGAGGCCACTTAGGATTGTCATCTGTGCTTCCTCATTGTCACCCACCTCGCTATTCCTCTATCGCTCTAGTACCAGGGCCTCCTATTTTTCTTTCTTTCTTTGAGACAGAGTTTCACTCTGTCACCCAGGCTAGAGTGCAGTGGCTCAATCTCAGCTCACTGCAACCTCCGCCTCCCGGGTTCAAGCAATTCTCCTGCCTCAGCCTCCCAAGTAGCTGGGATTACCGGCATGCGCCACCACACCCAGCTCATTTTGTATTTTTAGTAGAGACGGGGTTTCTCCATGTTGGTCAGCAGGTCTTGAACTCCCGACCTCAGGTGATTCGCCCGCCTCAGCCTCCCAAAGTGCTGGGATTACAGGCGTGAACCACCAGGCATGGCAGGGCCTCCTATTTTTCACTTGATGCCATAGGGATTCTACTCAGAAACATATCCAGACTTACCTCTTACCTCCCAAGTAAGACACAATTCAACTTTATGTTAAGGTCATCCCCTACAGCCACACAGAGACAAACCAGTAAGAATAGCCACCGTTTACCAGGAGTTTCCTGCGTGGCCATCACTGCTGTCCAGTATCTTCACTGCAGCCCTGAGAGTTGGGCATTGGTGCTACTGTTTCTAGTCCACAGGGCTCCAGAAGGTTAGGCAACTTGGCCAAAGTCACTCAGAGCCAGGATTCAAATCTGGATTTTTCTGACTTTGAAGTCTCTTGTCCCGGCCACTTTGCTGTACTCCACGTTCTTTAGCCTCTTCTCTACTTTGTTTCTGATTTCCCTTCACCCTACGGTGGCGTGACTCCTCCCAGTTCATCCTTACCTCTCCCTTTCTCCTTCCTCGAGCTTCTCTCAAGACCTCCCTGTTGGGTTCTATCACTGTGGTAGCTTTTCTCTCCCCAGATGCTGCTTTCCTGCTAAGTGATGCTCACGTCACGGCCATGCTCCAGTGCCTGGAAGCAGTGGAACAGAACAACCCCCGCCTCCTGGCTCAGATAGATGCATCCATGGTAAAGGAGACAAGGGATTATCCGTGTCTGTGCTGGGTCCCTGGACCTCAGCATGATGGAACCCTCCTCAGCAAACTGGTTTTTTACTTAGCCATTTTTGTGAGCTGAAAGGCTTTCATTTTTTTTTTTTAGAGGCAGAGTCTCGCTCTGTCACCCAGGCTGGAGTGCAGTGGCACGATCTCGGCTCACTGCAATCTCCACCTCCTGGGTTCAGGCGATTCTCATGCCTCAGCCTCCCAAGTAGCTGGGACTACAGGCGCCTGCCACCCCCGCCCCCCACCCATTTTTTTGTATTTTTAGCAGAGACAGGGTTTCACCATGTTGGCCAGGATGGTCTCGATCTCCTGACCTCATGACCCTCCCACCTCGGCCTCCCAAAGTGCTGGGATTCCAGGCATGAGCCACCGCGCCCGGCCGGCTTTCATTTAAAATGCTTGGAGAAGGGGAGGTACCATTAAGTACTTACTGAAGTAGAAAGTCTGAGCTTAGGTCTTGTGCTTAGTGGACCTGAGCTGGGGAGTGGGAGGTCGATTTTGTTAAACCGGTGGTATCTTTTGACAGAGGATACCACGCCTTGACAGAGATCTGGGGAAAGAGGGATGGTTCTGAATTGGGCAGGGTTTAGGGTCAGACCTGGCATAGCTTAATGTTATATGGGGTCAGTTTTTTCATGTTTTTTTCTTTGATGTAAAGAAAATTTTATAGTACAAAGAAAATCTGTTGCCTAAAATTAACTTACCCCATGACTAATACTCCAGTCAGTGCCTTAGCTAGAATGGAATCAGAGTCCCCACTTCGTAGAGAAGAGGATCCCCTATCTCTCCAGATTCTTTTAATTTTGTTTTCTGTTTTTGTTTTGTTTTGGTTTGGTTTTTGAGACAGAGTCTCACTTTGTCGCCCAGGCTAGAGTGCAGTGGCATGATCTCAGCTCACTGCAACCTCTGCCTCCCGGGTTCAAGTGTTTCTCCTGTCTCAGCCTCCCAAGTAGCTGGGATTACAGGTCTGTGCCACCACGCCCGCCTAATTTTTGTATTTTTAGTAGAGACAGGGTTTCACCATGTTGGCCAGGTTGGTCTTGAACTCCTGACGTCAAGTGATCCGCTCGCCTCGGCCTCCCAAAGTGCTGGGATTCCAGGCGTGAGGCACTGCGCCCGGCCTGATTCTTTTAGTTTTGATTGTTGGTTACTATCCATTGAATGCTTTCTAGGTGCCAGGCATGGTGCTGTGTATGATGCATGGATCATCTCACTGAATCTTCGTACCTCTGTGAAGTGGGCATTGATCTCATTTTATGAAGGAGGCTGCTGAGGCACAGAGTAGATACGTGGTCCAGAGTTCAGATCAAATAGCTGACAAGTGTCAGGGCCTGGATTTGAACCCTAGTCTGTCTGACTTCTGATTCCACATACATAATCTTACGTACTGTTGTGCCGCCTCTGTAATGAAGCACTCCTGGTTTAACACTTGGAAGGATTCCAGGGCAGAAGCTGTGGTTTCACAGTTGTAAATTACATACTACAGTAGAAGGTAGCCTTGCTGTATCTACAGGTCTGGCCAAAGTCCAGGCCTACTGCAAAGGTAGCCTCTACCAGCATTTCTGCAGTACTGCATTGCCCCCCACTCTGAGGCCCTCTGTCCTTAACTCTGACACATTCTTTGGTTTTGTTTTGCTTTTTAGTTTGCCAGAAAGCACGAGAGCCCACTCCTGGTGACAAAGAGCCAGAGCCTGACAGCTCTGCCCAGTTCCACATACACCCCTCCAACCAGCTATGCTCAGCATTCCTACTTTGGGTCCTTCTCTAGCCTCCACCAATCCATGCCCAACAATGGCTCAGGTATGGAGACAGGAAAAAGTGGTCATTACATTCATCCCCAGCCCTGGAAAGTAAGAAGACTTTGTGGTTGCTCATAGGCTTTGAAAATTGAGCCTTTGGCTGGTACAGTTTTTCTTAAGAAGGGACATGTTTACAAGTTATGTAGTGACGAGCCTGAAATAATTCAGTAGAACCATGAAGTAACAGAAGGGAGAGATGTTTTTAGATTCCCCCGAGTTTCTAATCCACGTTGCCAAGAAGGCATTTCAATGCCAGCTAACATTCATTGATTGCCAACCATGTACTAGGCTCTGTTGTATTCAGTTTGTACGTGTTATCCCATTTGAGCCTTCAAACAGTCCTCTTACTGCTCATTTTTCAGATGAGGAATGCATACTAATAAGCAAAAAAGCCACTGTCTCAGGAGCCCATACACTTGACTTAGCTGCTTCTAAATAATTTTATACTTTATTTGACTTGCCATTTCTGAGGTGACATCTTATGTCCTGGGCACCTAGTAACAATAGAAAGTTTGAACCTTAGCTGTGAAGAAGTCCTTCATACATACTGCAGGATTCCACCTCACCCTTGCTCCCCTTACCATTTCCTTTTGTATTCTAGAGAGAAGATCTACTTCCTTTTCACTCTCTGGCCCTCCCCGGAAACCTCAAGAAAGCAGAGGGCACGTCTCACCAGCAGAGGATCAAACCATCCAAGCCCTCCCGGTTTCAGTCTCTGCACTAGCCAGGGATTCCGCCTTAACCCCAAATGAGATGAGCTCCAGTACTCTGACCAGCCCTATAGAGGCATCCTGGGTCAGCAGCCAGAATGATTCCCCAAGTGATGCCAGTGAGGGGCCTGAGTACCTGGCCATTGGCAACTTGGACCCCCGAGGCCGGACTGCCAGCTGTCAGAGTCACAGCAGCAATGCCGAGAGCAGCAGCTCCAATTTGTTCTCCTCCAGCAGCTCCCAGAAGCCAGATTCTGCTGCCTCTTCCTTAGGGGACCAGGAGGGAGGTGAGGAGAGCCAGCTGTCCAGTGTCCTCCGCAGGTCCAGCTTCTCAGAGGGGCAGACACTCACCGTCACCAGTGGGGCAAAGAAGAGCCATATTCGCTCCCATTCGGATACCAGCATCGCCTCCAGAGGAGCTCCAGGTAATGAGGAACACCAGCTGCTGGTCAGCAAGATAGCCCTGAACTGAGAGTGAAGAGAGGCCTTGTTATGGGGACTCTCAGATGGCAGAGAGAGGCGTTCTGTTTGTGACTATGTAACATCTTGTTTTGTAACGAAATACCGAGACTCAGAATCTCTATTTATGTTTGTTTCTTTATACATTGCTAATATTAAATGTTTTCCTGGATTCTTTACTAGTTTAGTAACATCAGAGGATAGCGTGACTCATCACAGTTCGACTTTTCAAAGTATCTCTTGGATCAGGGAAAGTATTAGTGAGCTTTAAAAATAATCCCATTAAGTTCTGTCATTTCCTGTGACGTCTTAGAAGTTTGACCAGGGTGTAATAATACCAAGTGTAATACCAATGTAAGAGGTAGAGAGATACCGGGGTTTCTAATTAAAACGAAGGCGATAGTGAGGGTGGGGTGATGTGATCCAGCAGGTGAGTGGGTGGGGCTAACGGCCGCATCACTGATTCAGACCGAGAGGCAGTCAGATGAGCAGGCCCTGGCCACTGGGACCTCACCAAACACCATCTGATAGGAGGGGCAGCCTACATGTGGGAAACGTGGGGCTCCTTGCTTTTGCCTTCTCCTTGCCATCATCTTTCCTGGCTTGTGGTATCCGGCAGGCTTTGGTTGGGTTTTGTTTGTGGCAGGATCTCCATAAGAGAAAGTATAGCATGGAGCTTTGTGCTCAAAGCCATTCTGGGTCACAAAAGCCCCAGAAATAAGATATAAAAATAAAATATAAAAAATTCAGTGACCTAAAAAAAAAAAGATTTTCTTTAGCAACTGGAGATAGCATTGCTTTCTCTTTGTGATTTCTGGAAAGGTGAGAGCTTAGGCCCTCATCTGAAACCTTCAGAATTACCAACTTTTGTCTTTGTTTTCCCTCAAGAATGTGATTTAAGTTGTTGGAAATCTCGAGGAGAAGAATCTCCAAATCAAAGCCTGTCTTCCCATGAGCTTTCTTAGATGTGAAGATGACTTGGGCTGGACCCTCACTTCACATCTGCTGCTGCAGGCCTGATGTCTGCTGTACTCCAAGCCACTGGCCTTTGAGCATGTAAAACTTTCCCACCCCATTCTTGAATCCATATGGATTCCAGTGGAATCCTGCCTTGGAAAAGGGAGCCAGGGAAAATGTGTGCAGAAGTATCTGAGGAAATACGGGTCACGCACAGCTTCTTGGACGAGCCATCCGCCCTTCACAACTGGGGTTTCCTCCTGGGAGTTCCATCCCCACTTCTGCTGCGTAAAATTTAGGACACTTTTTTTCTCCTCTCTGTTCTCATTGCTCTGTCTGGACTCTCCTCTGCACCTGTCTGACTACCTACAGGAGGTCCCAGGAATATCACCATTATAGTTGAAGATCCCATTGCAGGTTTGGGAATTGGTCCTCCACTTCCTCTTTGCTCTGCTCTGTGACCACCTTTCTTAGTTCAGAACCTTCTTCAGTCTGGTGTCAAATCAAGTCTGGCTAGTCTGGTCTCGTTGTGATGCTTGGAACGGTCTATAAAATGTTACCAGTATTTCATGTGATGTGTTTTCTATACACAATTCCAAATGCCTCGTTCAGTTTCTCAACAGCTTCTGAGAGGCAGAGTCAAGACTTATCATTTCGGTTTTGGCCAAAGGTGAAACTGAGGCCGCTATTTGTCTGAGGCATCATGATGAATCAGTGGCAGACTTTTTTCTCTTTTTTAAAATTTTTTGACTTTTTTTTTTCTGGTAGAGACAGGGTTTCACCGTGTTGCCCAGGTTGGTCTTGAACTCCTGGCTTCAAGTGATCCTTCTGCCTCGGCCTCCCAAGTGCTGGGATTACAGGCGTGAGCCACCACACCCAGCCCAGAATTTTTCTTATAACTGAATACTTCCTATGGATTACTTTATTTTCCTTGAATTAACACCAGAATGTATTTTACCCCTTTCTGTGGTCTCAGATAGACTTGCATGTTTGGTTTTTTTCTTTTTTGGTTTTTTGTGTGTGTGTGTTTTTTTCCTCTCCTGCAGTTCCCTGTTTCCTTTTTCTTTCACCTGTTTTCATTTCCCTATAAATCCCTGCACCCCATTCCAGCTATTGCGTAGGATTTTTCTAGTGATTTCAGTGTGTTTCCTTGGTGTTCGTGGTGGTGTTCAAAATGAGACTTGTGTTCCATCCTGGGTACCATAATTCATGGAGAGGAACACTGGAATGGGTCTGCAAGGCAGAGGAGTGAGAGAGGGCAGAGGAGTGAGAGAGGGCAGAAACCCGTGGTTTCCTGGAAGTGGGTGAGGCCATTGGGTGTGTGAGCTTGGAAAAGAGATGGTTAAGGAGGAATAACGTCTGTAGGACCATCATTTAGAATAGCGTTGTTCCTAAGGAGATGAGAAATTGTAAGAAGGCAGGTATCAAGTGAGTGGACGGGAATTGTAAGAATTAGTTAAATGATGCTGCTATAAAGACACATGCACACGTATGTTTATTGCGGCACTATTCACAATAGCAAAGACTTGGAATCAACCCAAATGTCCATCAGTGACAGACTGGATTAAGAAAATGTGGCGCATATACACCATGGAATACTATGCAGCCATAAAAAAGGATGAGTTCGTGTCCTTTGTAGGGACATGGATGCGGCTGGAAACCATCATTCTCAGCAAACTGTCGCAAGAACAGAAAACCAAACACGGCATGTTCTCACTCATAGGTGGGAACTGAACAATGAAATCACTTGGACTTGGGAAGGGGAACATCACATACCGGGGCCTATCATGGGGAAGGGGGAGAGGGGAGGGATTGCATTGGGAGTTATACCTGATGTAAATGACGAGTTGATGGGTGCTGACGAGTTGATGGGTGCAGCATGCCAACATGGCACAAGTATACATATGTAACAAACCTGCACGTTATGCACATGTACCCTAGAACTTAAAGTATAATAATAATAATAATAAAAAAAAAGAAAAGAAAAAAGATTTAGTTAAATGGCAGCATTAGGAAGAAGTGAACTCAGCAAGAAAAGGCTGAATGGCCGCATGTTGTGAAGAGGTTAAGGTCGTGGTAGAGTTTGTGTTGTATGCTGTTTGAGAATTCCAAGTCATGGTTTTTTACCAAGGCATCGTGGTGACTACTAGTTTGTCCTCAGTTCAGTAGGAAGGAACAGACCCCACGACCAGGACTACCAGAAGTCTTTGAGGCCCAAGAAAAACACAAAATTGTCTCTTTCACAGAGTAGCATTTTTTGTGAGAGGAGTAGCTGGCAATTTAGCACCATCTGTCGGGAAAATGGGTTAGATGCAGCTCAATCATTCATTCTCCCATAGCATCCTGCTCATTTTCAAGCACCCACCTGCTTTTCCACCTGTTCTTCCTTCTGTGGTCCTGGAAATGTTGTGTTTCCTTGTGAAGAATATCAGTTTCTCATTCCTGTGAGCCCTGACTGCCACTGTTCTCCCCTCCCAGCTCTCGCTCTTCCTGTCCCAGGCATTGTCTGTCTCGCCAGCTTTCCCTCCCTCCCTTCTTCAATAAGGATGGGCTGAGCCCCGTAACAGGCCCCTTGCTTACGGGGCCCTCTCCCTGGGCTTCTCCAGCACTGCCTTGATGCTTCTTTTTAGGACACTGCTGAATTTTATTTCCTTAGTGAATGTAAATCTTCTGATGTTACTTTAAAACCTAATGTCAACATGTCAGAAAAGTTTCAATGCACTTGTCTTTGTTTTACTGTCTAAAGACTTTTCTAAATTGGTTTGTCAAGAGGATAGAAATCAGCTAACATTCCTGTAATGTTTGGTTAAAAGATGTAAGGAAAGAGAAGCAAATTTCATGAATCCATTTTGATTTGATTCTTTCTCTCCTTTATGTTGCCCCATTCTGGATCACGTTTCTTCTTTTCCACTTAGAATGTACTGACCGGCCATCTCCTTCCCTCCCTGTGTTTCTGTGCCCTTGGGCTGTTCCATTGTTGTGCCACCTCTCTCCTGCTTGGGAGGGCTTTGGGAAGGGGTGCAGTTAAATGTTGAAACTCCAAAGTCGGGAATGTATCTATTGCTCACTTCGTATGTGTGTTTTTACTCGTTGGTGGTCATCGCCATTAGAATCCTGCAATGATAAGGCGAAGTTGAGAGGCCCCTTGCCCTACTCTGGTCAAAGCATTGAAGTCAGCACACCCAGTTCTCTGTACATGGAGTATGGTGAGTACTATGAAGGCCAGGGCTAAAACTCTAGCTTTTCTCTGCTCGCCCCTTGTGCCTGCTAAGCTCTGAGCTTTGGGGTTCATCTCAGCTCTGCGGAGGGTACATACTGTTACCGTCTCAGTCGCTCTTTAGTCATTTTCAACCCCTGTGCTAGAAATCACACTGCTCTGCCACTTCTCTTGCTCCTCTCTGACTTCGGGGTCCTACCCACTCTTACCGCTGGGTGTTGGCACCAGGCATGTCAGCTGATCCATATGGAATGGCTCTGTGAGTGGATGAGATGGACCTTGAAAAGAGGACTTGGAGTATCTGGGCTTAATAACCAGCAGACAAACTCTACATGCAAATCATGCAGAGGAGGAAGCCATTTGTGTCCTTTTCTGACTCCCAGCCCAGAGCTTTCCATTTTTATTTTGTTTTTTCTTTATTATATGGTATGGGGGAGAGCATGTTCTCTTTGATTTTAGATGGCAGAAGGATTGTCTCTGTTTATTCCATCATTTTCCAACCAAAAGGCTCAGTGCTCTGGGATTCTAAGAGTACAAGAAATTCTTTTTTTTTGAGACAGAGTTTTGTCCTTGTTGCCCAGGCTGCAGTGCAGTGGCACGATCTTGGCTCACTGCAACCTCCGCCTCCCGGGTTCAGGCTATTCTCCTGCCTCAGCCTCCCTAGTAGCTGGGATTACAGGTGTGAGCCATCACGCCCAGCTAATTTTTGTATTTTTAGTAGAGATGGGGTTTCACCACGTTGGCCAGGCTGGTCTCGAACTTCTGACCTAGGGTGATCCGCCCGCCTCGGCCTCCCAAAGTGCAAGAAGTGCTTTTAGAAGGTAGATATCTTCTTCCAACCTCTAATTCCCAGTTACCTGGGAAGACTTGGGAGCATCTTTAATGGTAAAAGCTTAAGACTTCCTGAAGAAGCTTGACTGTTTCATCCACATTCCATTTCCCACAGAAGGTGGTCGGTACTTGTGCTCAGGGGAAGGCATGTTCCGAAGACCATCAGAAGGACAGTCCCTCATCAGCTACCTCTCTGAGCAAGACTTCGGCAGCTGTGCCGACCTGGAAAAGGTGGGAAATCGAGGGCCTCATGAAGAGCTCATGAGTTGGGAGATTGGGTCTAAAGGTCTGTGGTGCCATATGTTCTGATGAGGTTTTGGGTATGTAGCAGTGACATGGGTACAGACTACAGTAAAGATAAGTTCACAGTAGAAGGAAGCTCAGCAAGTTCTGTTTCTGAGGAACTCTGCAGGGAGCGTGTGCCCCTCATCGAGTCCCAGATACTAGCGATTTTATCTTAGAAGCCAGCCTGGGCAGAGAAGCATCAAGTTTGTGTGTGTGTTTTTGTTTTTTTGAGACAAGAGTGTTGCTCTGTCACCTAAGCTGGAGTGCAGTGTCACGGTCACGGCTCACTGCAGCCTCAGATTCCTGGGCTCGAGCAATCCTCCCGCCTCAGCCTCCCGAGTAGCTGGGTCTACAAGCACATGCTACCACACCTGGGTATTTTTTTTATTTTTTGTAGAGATGGGGGGGTCTCCCTGTGTTGCCCAGGCTGGTCTTGAACTCCTGGGCTTGGCCTCCCAGAGTGCTGGGATTAATAGGTGTGAGCCCCTGTGTTTGGGGTCTTGAACTCCTGGGCTTGGCCTCCCAAAGTGCTGGGATTAACAGGCGTGAGCCCCTGCGTCTGGCAGCATTGGTTTTGCTGCATGATTGCGGTTCCCTTGACCCGGGCACCTTAGGTAAATACTGTTTCCAGAATCAAATTCTATCTTTTGTTCTAAGGCTCAGATAAGCAATAAATGACATCTGTGTAGCATTTTGTAGCCTGCAAAACACTCTTATCTTGAGACATAACATTTACCTTAATATTTTGCGTACAGGTGTATGATTTTGGGAAAGAACCTGATTGAAATCCTGGGCCTCTTCTCTATCATATTTTTATGTAGAAATGAGACAGGAAGGGACAGGCTTGGCAAAGTAAGAGAGTGAAGAAAACCTAGAATAGGTTTTCCAGCCATCAGCTTTCCTCGTAGTAGAAATGTCCATTTCTCCAGGGTGTTTTTGACAGAAACAGTTCCTATCTTGGAAACTCCCCTTTCCAACATTATAATGTCATTCAATACTTGTAACCCTTTGCTTATTTGCTGCTCCCCTTCCCCCAGGAGAATGCCCACTTCAGCATCTCAGAGTCCTTAATCGCTGCCATTGAGCTAATGAAGTGCAACATGATGAGCCGGTGCCTGGAGGACGGGGAGGAAGAGGAAGACAGTGACAGAGAGATCCAGGAGCTGAAGCAGAAGATCCGCCTTCGGCGCCAGCAAATCCGCACCAAGAACCTGCTCCCTGTGTACCAGGAGGCTGAGCATGGAAGTCAGTGGAGCCTGTGGACACTATTCCCACATTCTCCCAGCTTCAGCATAAGGCCTGGTGCCTTATGGCTCTTCCTTTGGGATGTTATACCCAAACCAGTGGTTCCTCTGCTGTCAGAAAGACTTTTCTTTTATTTATTTATTTTTTTT